AGATGTACATGTTAAAAAGTAATACAAATATTATGTAACAAAGTTAATACAAAGAAAATAATACTGACACAATTTGTGAGCGAACTGTGGAAACATATTTTTCAGTAAAATTAACATTTATGATATGTTAAAGCAATACTATGTATATTTTATTCATTTATCTTAGAATTTACGTTTTAAATTAACTCGAATATGTTAAAAATTCAACACAAAATTTTAACAAGGATTCGAGTGAACTGTTTCTAACAAATACAAAATATTTTTTACGAATCACTGAGCACTCACCGATCAGTTTTCTCTACTGAACGCCATTCGATTAAAATTGTAGCAGTAGCCGGAGAAAGAGCAAATGTATTTTCTGTTTCCGTGAGAACTTTGTTTTTGCGCGAAATGTGTTTAAAGCTTCCATCTTGCTTTGTGGATACAGAGAAACCGAGATTCCTCAGTGGAGTCGGTTGTCTTTCAGTATTCTATAGGTTTTTATATTTACTCTATGAACTTTTTTACTTTCATATGCTTCCATAAACTTTCCTTATTGCAATTTTAGAGATATTGATTTACCGCCCAAGATTTACCGCAGAGACTTTTTTATTTCATTCTACATGCACCTCATTTTATTGTAAACATGCAAAGTAGTTATTTTCCTCAACTATATTACATATAACTTTTAAGTAAACATGTCAGTTATGCGTTCCGGGAAATTTATCAAAATCACAGTTTGTTAACTTTATCATTAATTATAGTTAAATCTCTCTTCTCCGCGAAATCGGGTCATCATTATTTTACTCTTTTCTTCTTTTTTTTTCATGTACATCTTTCCCGTAAGACACGGCCCTTCGAAAGGCACCGCGAGCTTTTTACTTCTGGAATGATGCTGCATCGCTCGCTGCGGGACCGGTTTTCTGTTGTGCATGAATCGTACGGTCCCTCGTCGATTTCCAGAGTCACTTTGTGTACGCGAGAGAGGCAACGCCAAGCGATATAAACTCACCGTCGTACCCTCCCCAGAGGGGAGTTCCAGTGCACTATGTCATCCTTTCTCGACGGCGAAAAACAATAACTACGAGCGACGTGTGCAGAGAGTGGCTCTCTCGCAGTCGGCGAGCCTTGCCTGCGAGCAACGCACGCGAATCAACACTTTACTCTGGACGTCGAAAGCAAAGTGCAAATAACAATTGTTATAATACTGGGTGCTTTTCAACAAAGAGACACTGAGTGCTTTCCAGCATGAGACACTGCAGATTACACAGCATAACACGCTGAATTGTTACATCTTTGTTGTTTGTCGCTGTTAAACAAAGGTCACTGTGTTTCTTACTGGAAAACACCAACAGTTGGCACACTGTGAATCGTTACGTTTTTGTTGTTTGCCACTGTTAAACGAAGATGAAATGATCACTGCTCTCTAAATCTCGTGGAGTGAAATCTCACTCGAAGAGACTGAAAATTTAGCCTGTCTTGAAAAAAGAGTGAAAATACGGCCATTCTTGTTCAAGAATGGTAGATTTTCATTCTTTCTAGAGTGAGATTTACTGTTTTTGAAATGAGATTCACTCCGAAGGAGTGAAATCTCAATCCCTTTTTTGGAGTGTAATTCCACCAGGGTGGAACTTCACTTCAAAACAGGATTGAGATTTCACTCCTCTTTGAAGAGAATCTTGTTTCAAAAGAATAAATCTCACTCTAAAAAGAAAATCTACCACTCTTGAACAAGAATGGCCGTATTTTCATTCTTTTTTTTTTCAAGACAGATTAAATTTTGAATCTCGAGTGAGATTTCACTCTACGAGATTTAAAGAGTGCATTACACTGTCTCTTGCTGGATAACTCTAACAATTGGCAGTGAATTACTTCGTCCTTGTTATTTGCCAACGTTTAACAAGGATGAAGAGATTCACTGTATTACACTGTGTTCCTTGTCGGAAAACACCAGCAGTTGGCACAGTGAATTACTTCGTCCTTGTTATTTGTTAATAACCAACGTTTAACAAGGATGAAATGATTCGCTGCCTTGCACTGTGTCATTAGCGTCTCTTACCGGAAAGCATCCACTGTTGCTCTTCGAAAGAGACGGATGTGACGAAATCGTCTCTTTCCGGAGTCTATTAAGTACGCTCGTTAAAATTTTTAAAGGAGAACCACGAAGCTTTGCGACATCGCATGCTGGTTTTCCCATATTTCGTTCTTATATCGAATGACTCTAAAGATAGTGGTCGATTTTTATGTGTATTTATCTTATCGATTGGCAAACAAAGCACTCATATCTTTAGGACTGTATTTTTGTTACATACTGTACAGCCAAGAAGGATTTACTAGACTCTAGAGATATCGTTCGTTTTCACGTATAGTTTTTTGGATTTCGCCGACGGCTGGAGGCTTATCCGACTGCAACAAAGTTGCAACGCTTTAAACTGCAACACGCTACGCTCCATTTGCTCGCGTTCCTCGTGTATGCGTGAAATGCTTTTAAAGCGCAATCGTTCGTACGTTGACTCGGCGGAACGATAAGCCTTCGCGCTTTTTGAGGGCGAGGATCTTTTCTCATATCTATCGGGATTACGCGCCTCGTATTCGGCACGATAATCCTGCTCATCTGACTCAGATTTCTTCAACTTATGAAATTTCGTTCAAAGGACACAAATCTTTCTGTGTGATATTCATTCTTGTCGCTACTCGTTCCGAGATAATGATTATGAAATGTCTCTGTATTTAGGTGAGAGTGAAACAGTTTGTTTTATTTTATGAGATGGTATCTACGTGAAATAAATGAGAATACAGGATTTTGTATCAATTATATATGGAAAATTGATTCCCTGTGTAATGAGCTAGTTTTCACATATAATGTAGCTTATAATATGGAAAAGCTGATGTAAACATTCGATAATGGATTTTTGATTATGATATATCAAAGGTGCTCTGTGTGAACACAAGTTTTCCACTTTTGATGAATGACACTATAATTCAAAAACTATACACTATACTATACTTTATTATCGAACTTTGTGTCTATGACAATTTTTGTACACCACATTATAAGCATTTATACGTGAAAATTAAC